GAGGTTGTCTACGAGGGTGTTTGTTTGGTCATTATCTCCCGATGTTGAATTGTTTCGGGATTTTGATCTCTTCGCCCTCCTTCTAGTTGTAGGCTTTTTAGTTGCCTTCCTCTTCCTGTTGTCAGCGGACACTATCCACGTGCCACTTGACAAGCTTGTGTCTGAGTCTACCCGTTGTAGGGGAATGACTACCTCCTTGAGCTTTATTTGGCTCATATCTTCTTTGGCAGGAGAGATTTCCAGCTTGTTATTTTTGCAGGAAATAAGTGGGTCCCTGTTTCCCACGTGCATTTGATTTTGGTTATTGTGTTCGCTTTGTTGATTCATCTTATTGAATCCCACTTTCCCGCTGCGGCTCCGTCCCCCAGGGTATACCCCCACCGGCCAAGGGGTGCCCCGAAACATGACCGGCCACACCCCAAGGCCGGGCCCCAAGTTCCCCCGGGGAGGGGACATATGTCTTAGACCGGGGGGATACCGCACCCCGGCCAGACTCCGAGCCCCTTACACACCCGTGTGGGATTTGACGCCCACACGGGCTTTCAGGGGTCCCGCGCCTCCGACAACGCGGGTACCGCAGCGGGCGGCGCCACCCGGGGGCCCCACGGACGCTTTGGACAGGGTTGCCGCTCCCCGGCCCTGCCCTACACGCCGTGGCGACCAGCATATGTGGGCGCCCCTCCTCGAAGACTTCCGAGCCCCTTGGGTAATCCCTTCGGGCTATGCCCCTTGGGTAACCGCGGCGCGCCTTCGCCGCCATCCTCGGCTCGGATTCGGAAACGTCCGAGCGGCCTGGGTGCGGCCTACCCCAGGGATGCTGGGACGGGGACCCAGGCTACCCAGCATGGAGACCCCCAACCAGCACCCCGAGGCACCTCCCTGTCCTCGGGAGCCGTTCCACGAACGGGTCCCGAGGACCGATCAACATGGCCCCCTCCGGGCGAAGCCCCTTGGGACAACCCTCCGGGCAAAGCCCCTCGGGTGACCATGTTGACCCCTCCGCCGGCGCGACCCCCTCCGGGCAAAGCCCCTCGGGAAACCCTCCGGGCAGAGCCCCTCGGGTAGTCGCGCGCGGCACCCTCCGCCGACGCCCACCCACCAACCCCCCAGAGGTAACCCCGAAACAAGCCCCCCCCAGGACGGAGGGGGGAGAAAACCCCGGACGGCAGAAGCCGTCTACCTGACAGGCTTGTCAGGCCACAGAGCATGGTGGGAAAGGAAGCGCCGAGGCGCCGTGCAGTCCCTTCTCCTAACGGTGCCATGCCACCGGGCGTTTGAATTCCGGGTCGCCATCCCTTACCACATACGAGCCGAAGCTCTAACGGGGAAGTGGGCCCCGTCTCTCCGGGGGGTGGAATTCTTCCACCGCCCGAAGAGAGCCCCCATAAGCGGAGGGCGTGCCCCCCAGGCCGGGGGCAGTGTACCTCGTAAGGTACTGGTCGCTGTTAGCACCCCTTGCAAGACTATCCTCTTGCAAAGGGTGAGCCCCTTCGCCACGGCAAGGCCGCGACCCACGAAGGGGAACCTTAGATACCCTGCTGAATGTAGGCACATTGTTCCGTTCCTCTCTAAGCGTCCGTAACTCCTCTTGTAGCGCTGCCATCGTATTTTTGACACTTTTGAGCTCAATTTCAGTGTCCTCACTACGCTTACAGATCTCTTTGATCTCAGCCTGAAGCTCCTGATTAACTCGTTGCAGGTGGTTGATGTCACCCTGAGCCTGGACCTTTTCGCTATAGGCGTGGACAACATCTCCCAATTGCTCCAGATACCGCTTCCAACGACCACTAAACGGACCAAAGACATTTTTACTTTTGCCTCGCAGGATTTCTGTTTGATTAATCAGTGACAGGCCATACGAAGCAATTTCGCCATTGTTTATAGCGACCAGTTCCTCAATGCTAATTCTAGCAGTGACGTCCGAGTCGCACGAAATATCCAGATCCGGATTGGTGGTCTTGTTTTTGTCCAATCCCAAACTGGGAACCAAAGTGCTTTTTTTCTTATTTTGAGGTATTTTCTTTTTAGAACCGCTAGCTTTTTGGCTGATCGACAAATCCGATGCAGCCGCATTCGTGTCATCATCATCTGAGATGATAACAAGACTCGATTCAGGCAGCACATCTCTGTCATCAACAGCAGCAAGCCTTTTGCTACGCCGTCTTCTCCCGGTGTTTTTTGTTTTGCGCAGGACTCTTCTTTCATTCGGTGAGGAGGATCCGGCATCATCCTGACTCGAATCAATAGTAGGCTCAACATCTTCTTCCTATTCAACAGCAGCATCCTGTTCGTTCTGTTCATCTGAGCTGACTATTATTCTATGCTTACGGCTCCTACTGACCGAAGCAACAGCATCATTTTCAGGCGATTCGTCGGCTTTTCTTTTAGATGCATGATCGGATGGTAACACATCTTTGACAAATTCAACTGAAGGAGTATTAGATCCCACTCTGACAGTCTTAAAAGGATCATATACTGGATCAACATGTGATTGTTGATTACCTGGTGGGTCAGTATTTGCCACCACTACGTCCATCCGTTCATAACCTGCCTCAACCTCAGGTTCATTTAAGATCGCGGTAGCCATATTAACCTGCTTGCCCAACGGCAACGAGCAGGCCAGCCCCTCGTTTGATGACGACAAGGCAAAGCCGGGGACAACAACTCCACCATGCCGGTCGCTGGAAGCTCCGATCACCTCCTGCGACAGTAAGTTTAATTCGTGTTCCTGATTGTGTGCCATGTTTGTATAATAATTTGGTTTTTCAGAGGGTGTCCTTCCTCCGTAATCGCAATCCATGGACTCGCCGAGTTGGTATAAAGAAGATCCGTTCAGAGTGTTTTTAGCAATATCGTCAGTCATCGAGCAAGAGATAGCGCGAAATTCTTCGTTAATCCTCTCAAGCTCGGCTTTCTTATCGCTAATCGAATGTCTCATGTTGATAAGGTTGTCCTCTGCCTTGTCCAATTCAACCATCCTTGTTAAATCCTCGAGTTGTGACGCCATAGAATCAACCATAAGCTGATTAAGTGGAATTGTTTCACTTGAACCAGACGAGGTATTATTTATCCTGCGCGAACTAAGTTCAACTTCATCTATATTAGGTGGAGAATTTATCCTCACAATGCTGTCAGAATTGAGATCTTTAATAAGCAATTCGTATTTACACACCTTACCTAGGAGATACGAACGAGCGCAGAACATTTTATAGCCCTGATTATATATAATTTTAACGCATGCTTCAATATTATTCAGATCTGCAAGGATTTCAGAGTAGTCACGTATCAAATTATTATTGCGTAACTTAACAACAGAGCCCATCGCACAACCCAAAAGCATGATGGGTGTGAGGCGGGCTTTATTTAGACGCACCATAAGTTCTTCAGTTGACTCCATATTGGAGTTGTATAATTGAGTGTCAATGTAAGATGTTAACTTCAGGCAATAATATAGCAAGGTAATTAAAGATTTGCAAAGGCTCCACTAGGGTTATTGTCATAACATAGAGAACCCATGCAATAGTTACACTTGGATTGTGATATATGTAATGGTGTGCTGATACTGTATAGTTAACATATTGACAAATCACACTCCTTAATCGCTGTGTTTAATTGTCTAAAACTTTTGGGCGTGTCTGCATAATTTTGCGGCATCTCCTCTTCAAATTAATTGAAGTCTGGAAATCAATTGTGTTATCTAACAAATAATTAGTTACAATTAAAGCGCGTCGTACAGCAGCAATCAACCAGACTTCAATTAATTTGAAGAGGAGATGCCGCAAAATTATGCAGACACGCCCAAAAGTTTTAGACAATTAAACACAGCGATTAAGGAGTGTGATTTATCAATATGTTAACTATACAGTATCAGCACACCATTACATATATCACAATCCAAGTGTAACAATAGTATAGTCAGATTTGGATCAATACACTATATTTGATTATCACTTTTATTTGTATGATTTAATTAGTTTGTCCAGTAGTTTAATTTATTGAAATTATCACTTTAGTCGCGGAAAAGTCAAGATTGTCAATTTACCAGATTTTTCCCTAGATCTAGTAATTTGGGATATTAGGTAAAATATATTGAGTCATATGCCTATAATATATTCACATATGATAATTATCAGCAATATTTATAGTGCTGATTTCGTTTTGACAGTGATTTATCACTTTGTAAAGATTATACACAATATGCAATTATTTAGATAAAATTAGTCCAATTATGTAAGAAAACAATGTTTTGTATACAAAATTACTTTAAAAATAAATTAAAAATAAAGAAAAACTAAGGGTTGTCCAAATCACCAAATTTCCCCCAGATCTAGTAACCTGGGTTGAGGCGCGAAAACACATCAAGTTGCACATCTATGCCGCAGTTCGTGATTATTTGATAACTTGAAAACATTCCATGTATCATAATTAGAGTTTAACAATGTGATAGTCAGTTTTGGATCAATACATTAGGTTTAATTATCACTTAATTTATATAATTTAGTAAATTAATCCAATAGTTCGAGTTATTAACATTTGTCACCCCAATATGTATTAAAACATGAGAGAAATCAAGAATGTCCAGTTTACCAATTTTTTCACCAGATCTGGTAACCTGAGGTTTCAGACAGCATATATTAAGTCAAACATCTTTGTTATGTTCACATATGTTAGTATCAGCAATAATTTATAGTGCTAATTCCTATTTAGCAATCACTTATCACATTTGCAAAAAATATACATAATATATAATTATTTTGATAGAATTAGTCCAAATTATGCACGAAAACAGTGTTTTTATATGTAAAATCACTTTAGAAATAAGGAAAACCGAAAATTGTCCAATTCACCAAGTTTCCCCTAGATCTAGTAACTTGGGTCAAAATGTGAAAGACACATCGAGTTTCGCATTTATGTTACAGTTCGTGATTGTTCGACAATCTTGGCTACGGAGTTCACTCATATACCAACAGATGGCGCGTCGATGTCCGTTTGCCACTTATTAGTCCCGAGAGGAGAAAACATACCCGGGAGAGAGAGTTCATAACCTAATCCTTGCAAAGTGTCACTTTAACAGTGCAGCGGTCTCACAAATGTACTCGTTTGGATAGTAAATAATTAATTTATATGAACAGACTGTAATAATTGTGCAAGTGTAAAAGGTAACATAGACTTTATATATTGTTGAATAGCAATAGTAGAGAAATCCAAAATATTTAACAGTATGTATATGGAGGTAAATTAAAACAGTTCTATATTATCATTATTAAATTCTATAAAGTTATTTATGATTAATTGATTATTAAGTATATATATTCACGTCTATCAATATTATTGTATAAACTAGAAAATGATATTAAAGAATCATATAAGTACTTATGTGTGTTATTCCCCGTGCATTAATCAGATGTCAGTAATACATGGTATTCATTATATTTAACAGTGAATAGCACACCACCCGGAAACAAGAGTACAAGATATAAGCTACAAGAATACATCCTGCACTACAATGACGCAGGTGTCAACAGGTCATCTGAATAGTATTTAGGTTTACCGCAACTTCAAGTATATTAACACAAATGCAGCCTCGCAGAGAAAGTCACATATTTTACACTATTAGAGATGACGTAAGTTCTGTAACGGTTCACCTTTCCCGACGCCGCGGATCGGCTCGCCGGTTCCAGGATTCGGGAGGAAGGGGGAGATTCAGACTCGCTTATTCCTTATTAACAATGCTTTGGTTTATTCAAAAAGAAACAAATAAACAAAATGTTTGTTGGCATAAAGCCTAAATAGAGAAACTTATTGACTACTCGGTATAAACAAAATGTTTGTTGGCATAAAGCCTTAAATAGAGAAACTTATTGACTACCCGGTATAAACAAAATGCGGAGGCGTGTAGCCTGTAGCGGTGTCCGGAAAAGATTTACAAATTACCCGGTATAACTTAGAGATATGGTGTACGGAGGCGTATAGCTTATAGCAGGAAGAAACCGGAAATCGGGAAACCCGGCGTAATGACGAGGAACCCGTCACCCGGTGTATAGCAGGAAGAGACCGGAAACCGGGAAACCCGGCGTAACAACGAGAAACCCGTTGCCCGGCGTGTAGCAGGAAGAGACCGGAAACCGGGAAACCCGGCGTAACAACGAGAAACCCGTTGCCCGGCGTGTAGCAGGAAGAGACCGGAAACCGGGAAACCCGGCGTAACAACGAGAAACCCGTTGCCCGGCGTGTAGTAGGAAGAGACCGGAAACCGGGAAACCCGGCGTAACAACGAGAAACCCGTTGCCCGGCGTGTAGCAGGAAGAGACCGGAAACCGGGAAACCCGGCGTAACAACGAGAAACCCGTTGCCCGATACTAAAGGTAGGAGGCCAGAAACCGGGAAACCCGGCGTAACAACGAGAAGCCCGTTGCCTGGCTAGGAGGTCCGGAACAGGACTGGTGCCGGCTCATCCGTCGAGCCGGCTTATATACCCTGCCGGCGGTTCCCCCACTCTATATCGAGGTTGTGGTGGGGGTAACGCCGGCGTCGTAGTGGGGCGCCTCTGGGGGTTGTAGTGGGGCGCCCCTGGGGTAGGGTGACCCGTGTATCAGTTATGTTTTTGTGCTTAGGGGCGCCTTAGGCGCCATAGCCTCAAGTGGCGGGCGGGTGATCGGCCCGCGAGGCGTTAGTAACGGACACGCCGTTACAGTTCAAATATTAAATATTAATTATTGAATAATTATAAAATTGTCTTATTTATATATATGTATATATGTATCAAAAGTTATGTTCTAATGTAATATTCTTAAATCCATTTCTACTAATTATTGATTACAGTCCCGATATGTAAGATTCATTGACTACTTAGTTTATATTCATTAAGAAATCACACAGTCATATGCAAATTGGACCAATTGTCATTTAACGTCACTCTATTTATCACATAAAACATACATGTATATTAATTTCACTTATCTTTACGCAGCGGACAGAACTCCAAGATGATGAAAGACTCCGTAGGATCACCAGAAGCATCTGAGGGGTCTCAGGGATTCCAGCGCATCAACAATTCCAAGATAACCAAGAAGGCAGCTTCAGAATCTCAACGAAGACCCACTCCGTCCCAAATTAGGATGTATAAGAGCATCAATTCAGGAATTTGACATTTCATCACAGCACTTGTAATAATTCCCAGCGAAACGCTCAATAGGTAGTGAAACAAAACTGCGCATGTTTCATCACCAACTTAGAGTTTTAAAGAATGATCATAAGACATTCTCTCTAAAGTATATATTAATCCGTTCAATTCTGTTTTGTTGATTTATTTTCAGCTTAGTGAACTTATTATTAGAAATAACTAAAGAGTCTGTATAATTTCAGATGACTGTCATGTTTAACTCAAAGGAAGATCACTCAGCTATTTTGAACTTCCATTTATGCATCCATTAGTTATTATAGATGCTTCACAGGTAATTATAATTATAGGTGTAGTACCAATATACTACTACACTTTAGTATCCTAATTTAACACTTAAAATTTAATAGTTGCATACATCTAACTTAAGTTAATTAGTCAAGTGTTAACTATCTATTATGTTTTAGATTATAGGGAAGATGTAAAATGCCAAGACGCGGTTACAGCACATGTGCATTGCTTAACACTGTTCTTGGACGGGATTTAGCACAGCACTATATAATTCGTCTAAATCGAACGTATATAAGGTTAGTATTATTTAACTAGTATCAAGAGATATTCAACGCTAATATATTTCTCAAACTAGAGTATTTTAAAACAACAAGTCAAAGAATATTATAGATTCACCACCGGCTTATATTTTAAAAACTGTATAAAAGAATATTAACTATTCAAGTCTATTTTCAATATCGGTCTATAAACTTGTTACAAACAGCTTTAAAGTAGTCAAAGTATTTGTATGAGTAGACGTATTACTAAAAAGTAATCAATTCTATGTAATTTCAGATGATTATGATATTTCACACAACGGGAAGACCACCAAGTTATTTGAACTTCCGGCACCTTATTTATGCATCAGTTAGTTGGTATAAATGGTGTTATAAACCCATCATAGGTGATTATAATTACAGGTGCGATATTAATATAATATCACATCTCGCTATTACCATCTAACACTTGAAATTCATTAGTTACGTGTATCCAACTTGAAAACAATTGGTCAAATATTAACTGTCTGCTATGTTTTGGATTATAGGGATAAGATGTAGGCGCCAAGGCACGATTGCAACGCAAAAGTGTTTCTCAGCACTGATCTAAAATGAATTTTTATCACCGCACTATAAATTTATCCAATTCCAATTTATATATAAAATTAGTGTTTCTTTGGCTATCACAAACTAAAGTATTGAACAATAGGTCAAAGTATATTATAGATTTCACCACCAACTTTATTTTTCTGAACTTTGTAGAAGAATACTAACTGTTCAAGTCTGTTTTTCAGTATCAATCTGTAAACTTGCTAGTATTAAAATAGTCCTAATATTTGTATGATTCCAGGTAATATCACCTAAGGCCACAAAACTATCTTTCTCCTACAAACTTCCTTTGTTTGAGGATATAATACAACACAGATATGTAAGTATAAACGATATTATACTCTATTACTGGTGTTTGTCATTTAAGATTAGTCAATTATTCCTATACGACTTCATAATTAGTCATATATGATATAAACTCTCTGTTGTATTTCAGATTGAGGAACAGGATGCAAAACGCAAAAGCGCAGTAACAAACACAAAAACGATCCTTGACACTGTTTTAAGGAGGTGTTCAAACACAGCACTATAAGATTTACCAACTCCATCGTAATAAGATTAATGTTATTTTAGATGATATCAATGATGAATACTTAGCTATAATATTTACACAAGATAGTGACTAACTAAAATATTTAATGTGTAGTAAGACAATGCATGTTCGCTCATAGACTCAGTATTTTGAATAGTAATTTCTAAATCCTGCAAATATATTCGTAGTCCAAATACTATGCATATTACTAGAATACTTAGACTGTTTATGTAATTCCATAGAATTATCATATATTAATATCCGCAGAAAGACCGTTAGCTATCTTTTCGTCTGCGTGCACCTCGTTTATAGAAGATTCATTACATTAAACAAATGTTAGCAGGTATAAATATTATGCTTACTGTTTTCCATTTAACACTTGAGAATAGTCAGATATTTGTCTAGTTTCGAAGTTAATCAATTATAGTAATTGTCTGTTGCATTGCAGTTAAGAAAAAACATTATGTAAAATACCTAAAACACAGTTATAAACTCAAATGTAGTTCTTTGCTCTAGTCCAAATGTTTTACAACACATTCGTTTATTTGATAAACAAATGACTATCAATTCACACAATCATCATATAAACTTGTAAATATAAAGTAAAATAAAATAAAGTATTTTATATACTAATTATTGTTTGTTGTTTAACACTTGTAACAAATTAATATATTTATCCAGCTTGGATCAAACATCAATTATAAGATATTTGTCTAAATATCAAATGATTTATTTCAGATTGGGAAGACGAGGCATGGAGCGCCAGAATTTGGTTGCACATCCAAATATAAATCCTGCACTATTCTAGGATGAAGAAACAGTATTCGTTAACACACAGTCAGATGACAAAGGCAGTTAATTCAAACCACCCCTACTGGTAAGATTTCATAGTCATGTATATATACATATATGTGCATCTATATCAGTATACAGATACAATTATATTATTTGATCAAGATTGATTATCCAAATATGAAGAATTATTAGTTTTGGATTTTCCTTCTAGATAACTCATCCAATAAGGTCAAGGATAAGAAGCAACTGTTACTAATTACTTTCGGTAAAGATATAAATACTATCCAACTTCAACGCAACAGTACCAAAATACTATATTGCTTGACAAAGTTAGAATCAAGCTCCCAAGATAGATTAGGGGGAATGCAAACTTCTTTAAAAATTATAACAATCAGCTACACGCATATGATAAGATGAATAATTGTAAGTCTGTTAAATTAGACATATTTTATAACTTAACATCTTGTTACATGAATCAAATGATTCTCCTACTTAAAAAGAAATCAACCACTTAAAGATTTCCTATTTTATTGCAGAAACAACTGGATCGTAGCACAAAAGAAGCAGCAAACATGAACAGTTCGTCCACTATTATTAACACTAAATATTTATGATTTAATATCTTTCTGACAGTGTCTCAACCAATTTAGTTTAGCCTAATTTAATTAAGACTAATTAATGTAATAATAATAATAATGTATTCTGAAATATAATATTTTAAAGTTATTACTAATCCATTTTAATTGTTAATAGATTATAGATTATATATATATGTCTTAAATATTCTTATTTATTGTCTAATCTATAACTATTATACTTGATTTCAATAATTTCAATTGATAATTATGTTATTAATTATCACATATCAAAATTTCGCGCATTTAGTATATCAGCCAATGAAGGATTGCCAGCACTTAACAGGCAGGTTGCCAACCTACTTGAGCACGCGCGCACTGCGCAGAACAAATGCGCTGTAGCAAGAACTGCCACGTGCAATTTATTTCAATATACTTATTTAATGAAAAAATGTTATATATTTATGTAAGTCACATAAAAAACACTTATATAATTATGTGTCTATTGTTTATAAGGATATAAAAAGCACTTATTATAACTTATTTAAGGTTTAAAAGTCAGATTTTAAATGAAAATAACTACAATTAGCAAAGCCAATGAGAGGCTGCCAACGGATACACACGCAAATGCAGCCAACCCACTTTTGAGCACGCGAGCGCATTAGTCTAGTGGAAAACAGTTACAATTTAATAATTCAATTTTAACATTAACTAAAATTATTTCAATTATTCCTAGTCACTAGATAACAACTTGCAACTGTCAAAAACATATATAAAATGTCTACTTCACCGTAACAAATTCCGATCAGCTTGTTGGAGAGCCCAAAGATTTTTGACAGATTTGCCCCAAGCCAAACAAGGATGGCAATAGTTTGGAATTGCAGCTGTCATTTATATACAAACTAATAAGTTTTGATAGTCTGGATTTTCACATACACTAACAAATAATCGTAAGAGTATATTAAAAATATATTCCATCATGTGGAAAATTTATAACACCACAAATATAAGCTTTTACTGCAAGTCCACTAGAGTGAGAGAGACAGCAACAGATATAAATGAAAAGTATAATTTCCAGTCAAACTAACAAACTCTATCACTCCAAATTTTCAGTCATTAATAAACAGTCATAGGAATGTATTAAAAATATATTCCAGCACACAGAAAATATCTAAAGTCAAGAAAATATACATCAAGTATAAGTCCACTAGTGCGAGAGAGACAGCAATAGTCCCCGCACAATTTCATTAATTATGACTTGAATAATTAATAGAACTGGTTGAAATTGTTATATGTAGTAAAGAACATTATAACAAATAATCCCACAGTAAAATAATCCACTCTTGGCACACTTTTAAGTCAAAATGTCAATTGTTCTCTCTACCTGTCAATATCACTAGACAGGCAGAGCATATGTCAATATTTAAGAGGCTTATTTTAAACAAAATACTTGTTCAATCAATTTGCCTCCACTTACTAGTGAACTAAGCACTAAAAACAATACACCAATAATGTTTTTGGTATTAAAAACCGAGAATTTACCACTTTTTAAAGTACTTATGTACGGAGCGTACTTAGTGCACGTGCACCGAGAAGATAGTCTCACGACGGAACCAACATTGCCATTGTTGTATAATGCCACCTTTGGCGGTTTTTTTTTTTTTTTTTTTTTTTAAGTCAGGAAATTTGCCTAAACCAAACTTCGCCATCCTGACCCCTTTTTTTTTTTTTTTTTTTTTGACTGGGGAAACCTCATGGTACCGTCCGCCTCCGGGTAGAAGCGGGGGTTATGTGGGACTCCCTGCCCCGTCTGGCCGGCCCGCACATCCGCCTGGCCGGTCCGCCGTAGCGAGCCGGAGAGTCGGGATCGGCGAGCCGGAGAGCCGGGACAGGACCTACCGCACTAAAACCCCAGAGGATGTCCTTCACGGGCGTTATACAGGGGACGGCCAGGATGCTGGTATCCCATGCCGTCTGGCCGCCCCCCCGCCATATCCCTACATGGGAGGATGCCGCGGAAGGCGACACCCTCCCCCCGTCATTGTACGGGTACTTCGCGGTTGCGGCGCAGGGCGACATCTACCCTACGCCGCGCCCTCTCAAAGAGTTTGAGGGGCGGAGCCATGGCTCGAGAACTCCCGCTCGAGCCATCGCCCCTCGCCCCTCCAGTGTCGCAACCCCCGGACCCCCAAGAGGGCGGTCCGGTTCGGCGGTTCACTAAAGGGGCCCTCATCAGGAGGCCCCTCAGAAGGAGAGGAGCCCCCTTCCGTGGACGGTGTTGCCCTCCCACCGGTGCCTACGGCTTCCGGTGAGAGGGCCCCACACGTCACGTCTCCATCCTTGAGAGGGGCCCAGGCGCCCCGAGCGGGCGGGCAACGCCCCCCGCCAGCAGCACGTAGCCCCCCCTTATTCCTGACTCCCCCGGCCGCCCCCCCCCCCTGTTAGGGGCCAGGGTCCACCCGCAACCGGTGGGGCCCATCCTGCCCGGAGGGCGCGGGGGGGGGGAAGGGGAGCACCTAAACGCTCCCATGTTCCCCCCGACACCCTCATCCGGCGTCGATCGTCGACGCCGGTATGTGGCAGGCCCCCCGACCCCCACCGCCGCAGACAACCGCCCCCATGGGCACGACCGCCAACGACGGAGGGGACCGGGGAGGTACGCCCCTTCCCCTCGACCCCGTCGGGAATGTCATCAGACACCCCGGACCCCCGAGTCTGTACCTGGCCGACCGTCGGAAGTCCACGCAAAGTGGACACCTAAGGCCGGACAGGCACCCCACCTCCTTGTGGCCAGGGGAGCCGCAGCGATAGCAACGGCTACCCCTGTCCACCGCCGAGGTGCACCGGCGCCATGTGTGCCCAACACACAGACACCGGTAGCGTGTCTCGGCGTTCCCATAACATTGGCGACGGTTACTCCGCCGCCAACCCTCCCTCCCCATCGACCACCTTCACCGGCGATCTTCTCCTCCCCGCTATTCATCCCTCCCCCTTTCTCCTCCTCCCTCTTTCTCTTCTCCCTCTCCCTTCTCCTCTCTCCCCTCCCCACCACCTTTGCCCATTCCCCCGTGGTTCTCCCACCCCTTCCCCTTTTTCCCCTTTCCCCCCTTCCCCCCCGAGTCTTTCGTCGTCGTCGCGTAGTCCGTCTCCGTCATTGTCTCCCCTTCCGTCGCCGTCTCCGCTTCCGTCTCGTTTCCCATGCCGATCTCCATTTCACTGGAGACCCCACGGGCGACCTGAGCCTTCCTCCCCACGCGACCAACCCCCATCTTCGCGAGGCGCCTCTCAACCAACTCCAGCCGGTCCGAGTTGGCAGCCAGTCTCGAGGATATCTCCCCGAGCCTGTCCACCAACTCCCCCGGCAGAGGAGCCATCGTTGGGGGCGCCTCCTCAGTCTGGGTCCACACGGACATTCCTGTTCCTTCTTCGGTTTGCGTCCCTTGATTCTTGACGAACCCTGCCTTCATCTCTTCTGCCTCTTCCTCCCCGAGGCGGACACATTCTCGTCGCGTTAACTCCGCAACATTCTCCGTCGTGATGTGCGCCAACTGCCAGATTCGAGAAGCGAAGCCTCTCGCTTCCCGCATCATGGGGCTCATCTTCCTCTCGGCTTTTACCTCTTCAGCGATGCATTCATTGAATGCATCAATCTCGACCTGGAACTCGTTCCACCATGGAGCTAGATCCCTCTCCCATATGAGGTTCGGGAGCAAAGCCGCCGGTCTCACAGCCCCAGGGTCGAAATTCCCCTCCTCCTCCGACATGATCGCCGACGAGCCCGTCGACATCATGTCCTCATCCTTGCACCCGTCGTTCGTTGACGACGGGGCAGAGGCCGGGATGATACCCCCCTCTCCGCCGGGCCCTGGGGCATCCAAAACCCCTGGGCCGGTAGTGATCTTTTTAGATCGTCGTCTTCCCATTTTGATTTGGTTGGTTTTTTGACTTGGTGGCCTTCCAAGGGTGGCGGGCCGAAGCCCTTTTGGCCCCACCAGGCCCATCCATCCACACACACATACACACACACATTCACCCAATGTCGGGAGCCAACCAGATCTCACCCACAGCCCGTTCGGCATGGGAGGCCCTGCCGGGGACCGGGGTCCCCGCCGACATGGCCTGTAGGATCATTGATCCAGCGCTCCCGACATAAACACACATACCAGCTCGGGACCCTCGGGTGCGCGAAACCCGTACCCTACAGGGGGGGCACATGACCCCCCCTGCAGAGTCCCTGAGGGAGCCATCCTGACCCCTGAGGGAGGGCCAGGAGGCTTCGTGGTGGGTTCCCGCCCGTAGTATCCCGAGGGACTATCGGGCGGGGGACCGACCTAAAACCTGACTGAAGCCCCTGATCGTATGGTTATTGTCCACCGCGGAACCGCTAACGCATTACTTCACGGTGGACCACCCGACCGGCGTCCTTTAGGAAAGGACACATCCCTCGAGAGGATACTACAGGTATCCCCTCGGAAGGACAATACCCTCGCCCCGAAAGGGCATCGGAGGAAGCCGGGCTACTAGCTCCCCACGGACTTCCCTGGGTCGACGTGCAATGGGATCAGGGCCCCCACCCTTCTCCCTGCCGAACCCGGTCAGTGAGACGGCCGCAGCCGTCCACCCTACACTTAAACGTCACAAGACGTCACCAACTACGTGGACAAACATGTATACACATATATACACAATCCACAATAGACCAAGTAAGGGCCACAGGCCCAGCCCTCAAGGGGCCAACATCAAAGGCCCAATGGCCGACCACAATGAAGGTGGGAGGGTTGTTACTCCCACCTATGAACAAAAGACAAGAAGACCAAGACAACAGACCTGGCGCGGGTGAAGGGGCCGCGGAGTCACCTTGCGGCAACCTCCCCGGCACCCATACCCATCGCCGCTACCTACTAAACATAAACTTGGCGGAGCAGGGAGACCACGAAGTCACCTTTCGGCAACCTCCCCGGAACCCCCCGCATCCACCACTACATACTACGACTAGTGACAAAAACAACACTAAACATTGGGAGCAGAACTGCAGCCCGGCACAGGGGAGCCACCTCTCCGTGACCTCGCCCGCCCCAGACTGCAGTCCACCCTTACTCACTCAGGACTATCGGGAGCCCCCC